GTTACTCAGGGACACAGAATTGTTACTCAGGGACACAGAATTGTTACTCAGGGACACAGAATTGTTACTCAGGGACACAGAATTGTTACTCAGGGACACAGAATTGTTACTGAGGGACACAGAATTGTTACTGAGGGACACAGAATCGTTACTCAGGGACACAGAATCGTTACTCAGGGGACAGACACAGAATTGTTACTCAGGGACACAGAATTGTTACTCAGGGACACAGAATTGTTACTGAGGGACACAGAATCGTTATCAGGGGACACAGAATTGTTACTCAGGGACACAGAATTGTTACTCAGGGACACAGAATTGTTACTGAGGGACACAGGTTACTCAGGGACACAGAATCGTTACTCAGGGACACAGAATTGTTACTCAGGGACACAGAATTGTTACTCAGGGACACAGAATTGTTACTCAGGGACACAGAATTGTTACTCAGGGACACAGAATGTTACTGAGGGACACAGAATCGTTACTCAGGGACACACAGAATTGTTACTCAGGGACACAGAATTGTTACTCAGGGACACAGAATTGTTACTGAGGGACACAGAATTGTTACTCAGGGACACAGAATTGTTACTCAGGGACACAGAATTGTTACTCAGGGACACAGATTGTTACTCAGAGGGACACAGAATCGTTACTGAGGGACACAGAATTGTTACTCAGGGACACAGAATCGTTACTCAGGGGACACAGAATCGTTACTCAGGGACACAGAATCGTTACTCAGGGACACAGAATCGTTACTCAGGGACACAGAATTGTTACTCAGGGACACAGAATCGTTACTCAGGGACACAGAATCGTTACTCAGGGGACACAGAATTGTTACTCAGGGACACAGAATCGTTACTCAGGGACACAGAATTGTTACTCAGGGACACAGAATTTACTCAGGGACACAGAATTGTTACTCAGGGACACAGAATCGTTACTCAGGGACACAGAATCGTTACTCAGAGGGACACAGAATTGTTACTCAGGGACACAGAATCGTTACTCAGGGACCACACAGGAATCGTTACTCAGGGACACAGAATCGGTACTCAGGGACCACTTACGTTGAATTAAAGAGTATGTCAGACAACACGCAGAGGAGTGGCAGAGGAGGAGGCAATGTTTCAGGAGCGAGCAGACGTGGCAGCAGAGGAAGGGGTCGAGGCAGCACTAGTCGCAGCCAGAGGGCCAGTGCTCCCGGTGTCATCCAGCGGTCGTGTCTCCACCGACAACCCTGCCGTCATCGATTGGTTGGCTCGGTCGTCTTCCTCTTCCCAGGTCACCTCTGACACCTACAGCCAACGGTCGGTGGGTACGTCAGACACAAACCGTTAGTTGGCATGGCCCGGGAGCAAGCCCACTGAAATCACGGTCCTCTACCTGCCCCTGTCCTTTGGTGTTCCCTCACCAAGCGAAGTATCGCATGCTGTGGGCTCAGCCCCACTGTACAGTGAGGAAGAGCTAACAGAGGGCGGTCAGGAAGGGGGGGGAGACATCCGCCTCTTCAGCAGCCAGGCGAAGAAGTACTGGCGAGGAGAGAGTGGCTCGGTAGCCGGTCTAGAGACAGGTCTGTCTCCTGACCCACACGCAGCCGAGGGGGCTAGTAGTGAGGCGGAGACCCTAATTGATGATGATGAGGGCTGATCGCACTTGGCAGCCTCGTCGTCATCAGGCTATTGCTTCCGCATCATCAGGAGAAGAGGGTGCCAGCTTGGCAGCGAGCAAACAGTCGGTGGGTTGCCCAGGAGGCAGCAGGGTCGCAGCAGTGTCAGTGGAGGCAAACGGCCACGGAGTAGAGCACCAGCTCCACTGCAGCCTACCACCACGGCCAGTAGTGGTGCCGGTGTGCACGGAGGAAGTAGCAGTCAGCCAGTGAGGAGTAGCGGGGGCAAAGTTTCCTACTCGGCGGTGTGGCAATTTTTCGTCAAGCCGCCCGAGGAAGTAAACGTAGCCGTATGTCGACTATGTGGCCAGAAAGTCAAGCGTGGCCAGGGGGCCCATGTTGGGACTACAGCGTTGCGTCAGCATATGCAGCGTCGCCATTCGGTGGCCTGGGGAAAACCGTGATAAAGATACGGCGGGTTCTGCCTGCCCCAGCCCCCGCTCCATCACCCGCCGTTACTTGCTCCGTCACCCGACGTCAATCGCCCTCTATCAGCCAGTCAAGGCTCCAACACCTCTGCTGAGGGGAGTTGTCGCTCGTTGGCATCTTCCGCTCGTTCAGATGCTCCTTCTCCTGCTACTCCTCTTCACGGATTCCGTCAGCAGTCTTTCTTGGAATCCGTTTCCAAGAGACAACAGTTTGCGAGCACGCACCCGACGGTGCAGAAGCTGAACGTCCTCCTGTCCAAGTTGCTGGTGCTGCAGTCCCTCCCTTTCCAAGTGGTGGACTCAGCACCTTTCCGAGAAATGATGGCTTGTGCCGCGCCGCGGTGGAGAGTGCCAAGCCGGCATTTCTTCGCCAAAAAGGCAGTGCCAGCCCTGCATTCACATGTAGAAGAGATGGTGGGCCAGTCTTTGAGCATGTCGGTCTCTGCCAAAGTGCACGGCAGCGCCGACGTGTGGAGCTGTAACTACGGTCAGGGACAGTACATGTCATTTACGGCCCACTGGGTGAACGTGGTGCCGGCACAGCCGCACCAGCAACTTGGACAGGTCACGCCGCTTTTTGCCTCCACGTTTGCACGTCTTTGGTCCGGCAAAGATGTCCGCCTCTACCACCTCTTCTTCCGCCGTGTCCTCAGCCGCCACCCCCGTGCCAAGTCCCATTACCCGACCGGCATATCACATGTGCAGGGCGCAACGGTGTCACGCTGTGCTGCACCTGGTATGCCTTGGCGAACGTAGTCACACAGGGGAGGAACTTCTGAGTGTAATGAACAGAGAAATCGACAGATGGCTGTCTGCCGCGCAAACTGAAAATCAGAACCATGTTGACCGACAACGGAAAGAACATGGTGTCTGCTCTGCGTCAAGGAAGGTTGTGCCATGCGCCATGCATGGCTCACGTGTTCAATCTGGTTGTCAAGCGGTTCCTAAAATCCACCATCCCACTGCAAGACATCCTTAAAATGTCACGTAAACTTTGCATGCATTTCAGCCATTCCTACACCGCAAAGCACACCCTCCTTGAGCTGCAGCGGCAGAACGGAATTCCACAGCATCGCCTGATCTGCGACGTTGCAACAAGGTGGAATTCAACCCTACACATGTTAGACTGCCTTTACGAACAGCGAAAGGCCATCACCGATTTCCTGATGTTACAAGCGGATAAAGGTACTCCCCTGTGTAACTTCGATGTCAGCCATTGGCAGCTCATGCGTGACACCTGCCGCTTGCTCAGGCCCTTTGAGGAGGCCACGCTATTCGTGAGTCGGCAGGACTATGGGATGAACGACGTCATTCCTCTGTTGCACGTCCTGGAACAAATGCTGTTAACAATGGCTGGTCAGGGTGCGGTAGACGTGGCGCACAGATCTCAACGCCACATGACCCCTGTGGGGGCAGGACAGGAAGAAGAGGAGGAGGTAGAGGAGGACATTGGTGCTCAGGAATTATTGAGTGAAATGGGTGGTTTTTCCACTCAGCGGACAGGAGTGGAGGAGCAGGAGCATCTGGTAGAGGAGGAGGAGGAGGAGACAGAGGACCCAGACGCACCATGGCAGTATGCTGTGGAGATGGAGGCAGGGAGTCCCTCGCATTCCTTGGCACAAATGGCCCATAGCATGCTCGGTTGCTTGCGTAGCGACAGCCGAATAATAACCATCAGACAGAGGGATGACTTTTGGCTGTCCACCTTGTTGGACCCTCGCTACCGTTCAAAAATGGTGGCCTTTTTCACACCTGCTGAGAGGGAGGCCAAAATAACGTACTATAAAAAACCACCTATGTAGTCAGTTGGTCTCTGCCTTTCTGCGCCAACGTCCATCCTCAGACACTGTGGGCCCTGTGCGCTCGCGTTCCACTGCCATGGCAGCAGGGGAGGGGTGGGGTGGTAGGAGCAGTGGCAGCTCCACCAGCAGCGGCTGCCACAGTCTGCAGTCGATGATGAGTAGCTTTCTTCACCAGCGCAGTGAGGAAACTACAAACTAGCCGCAGCAGCAGCATCAGGTGGACCTGGAGCAGGACCTCAAACAACAGGCTTGGGCCTACTTGGACAGCACCCTGCCAACCGAGGTAGACAATCCCCTTGACTACTGGGCAACGAAACTTGACCTTTGGCCCCAACTAGCTGAATTTGCCCTTGAAAGGCTGTCATGCCCGGCCAGTAGCGTGGCATCGGAGCTCGTGTTTAGTACGGCAGGAGGTATTGTAACTCCGCGGAGGACACGACTGTCCACCCAAAGTGTGGAGAGACTCACGTTTGTGAAAATGAATCAGGCGTGGATTAGTCTGGATTTCAAACCACCAGTTCCTGACACAACTGACTAAATCCGCCATGAATCATGCCCCAAACATGTGCCACTTTCAGGTCTCCTCACACTGCTGGTGGGTTCCATTTTGTCATAGGGTGCTGGCAGATTACGGGCCTCCCATTGCTGCTGCCAGGCCCGTAATCTGCCATGGGCCCTGTACCGCCTCCTCATGTGCTGCTGCCGCCAGGTCCAGAGTGTATCATGGGTCCCTGTACGGCCTCCCATTGCTGCTGTCTCCATCGCCACACTCTGCCATGTGCCACTTTCAGGTCTCCTCACACACTGCTGGTGTGTTCCATTTTGTCATAGGGTGCTGGCAGATTACGGGCCTCCCATTGCTGCTGCCAGGCCTGTAATCTGCCATGGGCCCCTGTACCGCCTCCTCATGCTGCTGCCAGGTCCACAGTGTCTCATGGGTCCCTGTACGGCCTCCCATTGCTGCTGTCTCCATCGCCACACTCTGCCATGTGCCACTTTCAGGTCTCCTCACACTGCTGGTGTGTTCCATTTTGTCATAGGGTGCTGGCAGATTACGGGCTCCCATTGCTGCTGCCAGGCCTGTAATCTGCCATGGGCCCCTGTACCGCCTCCTCATGCTGCTGCCAGGTCCAGAGTCTCTCATGGGTCCCTGTACGCCTCCCATTGCTGCTGTCTCCATCGCCACACTCTGCCATGTGCCACTTTCAGGTCTCCTCACACTGCTGGTGTGTTCCATTTTGTCATAGGATGCTGGCAGATTACGGGCCTCCCATTTGCTGCTGCCAGGCCTGTAATCTGCCATGAGCCCCCGTACCGCCTCCTCATGCTGCTGCCGGTCCAGAGTCTCTCATGGGTCCCTGTACGGCCTCCCATTGCTGCTGTCTCCATCGCCACACTCTGCCATGTGCCACTTTCAGGTCTCCTCACACTGCTGGTGTGTTCCATTTTGTCATAGGGTGCTGGCAGATTACGGGCCTCCCATTGCTGCTGCCAGGCCCGTAATCTGCCATGGGCCCCCGTACCGCCTCCTCATGCTGCTGCCAGGTCCAGAGTGTGTCATGGGTCCCTGTACGGCCTCCCATTGCTGCTGTCTCCATCGCCACACTCTGCCATGTGCCACTTTCAGGTCTCCTCACACTGCTGGTGTGTTCCATTTTGTCATAGGGTGCTGGCAGATTACGGGCCTCCCATTGCTGCTGCCAGGCCTGTAATCTGCCATGGGCCCCCGTACCGCCTCCTCATGCTGCTGCCAGGTCCAGAGTCTCTCATGGGTCCCTGTACGGCCTCCCATTGCTGCTGTCTCCATCGCCACACTCTGCCATGTGCCACTTTCAGGTCTCCTCACACTGCTGGTGTGTTCCATTTTGTCATAGGGTGCTGGCAGATTACGGGCCTCCCATTGCTGCTGCCAGGCCTGTAATCTGCCATGGGCCCCTGTACCGCCTCCTCATGCTGCTGCCAGGTCCACAGTGTCTCATGGGTCCCTGTACGGCCTCCCATTGCTGCTGTCTCCATCGCCACACTCTGCCATGTGCCACTTTCAGGTCTCCTCACACTGCTGGTGTGTTCCATTTTGTCATAGGGTGCTGGCAGATTACGGGCCTCCCATTGCTGCTGCCAGGCCCGTAATCTGCCATGGGCCCCCGTACCGCCTCCTCATGCTGCTGCCAGGTCCAGAGTCTCTCATGGGTCCCTGTACGGCCTCCCATTGCTGCTGTCTCCATCGCCACACTCTGCCATGTGCCACTTTCAGGTCTCCTAAGACTGCTGGTGGGTTCCATTTTTGTCATAGGGTGCTGTATGGCCTCCCATTGCTGCTGCCTCCACCGCCACACTGTGGCTCCACACTCTGGTTTTGGCCCCGTGACTGCCCAAATGAGTGAAGTGTGCGGTGATTCTAAGATCGACGGCACTCATCTGCATGTCATACTGACTGACAGTATTATTTCTCTTCCCCAGCAGACTCCAAGGGCATTTAAATTAAAGGTACAGTGTTCTGCACTAATATAAAGGCTCTCTGAAGCCTAGAAACCCTTTTTATAAGTTAAATTCGCAGCGAATATATTCGCATCGAATCAAATTTATTCCTCGAATTCGCCGAATCAGCCGAATCGAATTTTTGAATACTTCGCTCATCTCTAATAAGTACGTATAATAAATAAGTAAATAATAAATTACAGCAAAGTTTAATTGTCATGAATGGGTTACATTCATGACAGCTGTTATCACTAGTGATTTGTGATTGGATTCAGGTAAACACATGGTACAGGGTGCTGTGATTGCCTAAGATACCATGTGATAGCTGTGGGCCAATCACAGCATAGAAAACAGCTGTTATGAATTAATTCATTTATAATAGCTTTGTTAACACTGAGAGTACCGGGATCCGCTCTGCGTGCCCCTAACCGGAGCAGGCTGCCCGTACCATCCGCCTGCAGGAAAATATTTTGGGCTGTTGGCAAGTGACTATTCTATCCAAAAGTAAAACAAACGTTTTGGCTTTAGATATGCTTTTACCTAACCCCATATTAATCCATAATGTGCCCCATTGCAATTAACCTTGTTCTGACCTTAATTTTTAAACCTCAATGCTTAAAGCTGAACTTAAGGCAAATAAAAAAATACAAATGAGTGCAGCTTTGTAATCAAGAACACATCCTGAAATGTATTTATTTATGCAAACAGTGTAGGCACCTGAATTTCACTTAGTATCAGCCTCTTGTGATCCTTTCACAGCAGATCTGAGGTTGGGAGAGGGAAACACAGCCCAAGGAGCCAAGCATTTGTGCTGCACTGTAAAGAGCATACTTATAGAAGCAGATAGCGGAGTGGCAGGGAAATGAGATCATTAGTATACTGCTTCTCCTTTTCCTGTCTAGTCACAGGCTAGATCTAAAGGTGTTATTTAACTGCTTTAGAAAAATAATCAGGCCTCCTCTCTGCTAGATGAGGTTGTGTGCTGTAACAGAGCTATGCAAATCCTCGGAGGAGATGGACAGCAATACAGGGGCTTGGGAGGATTCTGTAGCACAGAAAGTTTTTTATACCTTAATGCAGAGAATGCAATAGGGTAAAAAAAACCCTTAAGCCTTCAGAACCACTTTAAGTTGTTTGCCTGTAGTGCAGCTCTAACCTGAACCCTAAAATGTAAACTAACCTTTACTCACAAATTCCCAAAACTAACCCTATAGGCAATAGCAGCACCTAGAAATTGAAAGAGAAGTTTTTTCCCCCCAAATCATACTTACCTAGGTGGATGCAGCATCGGTCCCTCGCTGGCTCTAAGCTTGAGATCTCATTGATCACATGACCGCTGATAGCTGCGTTCTCACTGCCGCTGTGAGCAGAGAGTTGTGACTGTCAGTCACCACTGTCTATTCTGCCCCCCCCCCCGAGTGATGGGCTGTGGAGGTGGAGGGGGGCGGCTGGCTCAGGCTCTCAGAGGATCACTGAGAGGCTGAGCCAGGTGCCACTCCAGACTCTGGGGTGGACGAGATCTTTCCCCAGCCTGGACCAGCTGAGCGATTTCAGCCGACAGCGGGCTTTAGCCTGCTGTCAGCTGAAAACAGGTTACAGGATTGCAGAACAAACTGTACTCCTGTGATCCACAGGAGAGGTACAGCCAAAAGAGCTTTGGCTTTACTTGTCCTTTAATAGTTAATATTGGCCTGAACATTAACCGAAGCCTTATTACTAACTTACCTGCTGTAATGCCTATGAAATGTGTTGGCCTTGGACCCTTTGTTTCTTGGTCATTTCTTTAGCAAAAGGAACAGAGTCACAAGATATTCTTCTGATAGCAAGATAAAAAGTTGTTTATGGAAGAACCGTGTTTATGACATCTAGTAACCTCACATTAGGAGATAAAAACCTGTTTAAGGACATCTAAGTTAGAAATCCTTAAGTCTGGGGGAGATGAAAAGAGGTTTTGGGGTAGATAAGAGGCAAAAAAGTGTGACTTTTCAGATAAAGAATATGGTAGTTGGACATGGCTGTTATCCTGTAGTAGGTGTGGCGCCGCCCACTATTGGACCGCTTCCAGAAAAAGGGTTTATAAGGTGGAGGTCCTGGCAAGACCAGTAGAAACTCCCCTAGTGGCCAGAGGACACTCTGACCCTGGGATTTTTACCAAGGCTATATGGGCTTATCGACTGGTCGCGCCTATGGCTTTTCTTGGACCCCCTGGGCAGTTTGGTTCCGATGGGATTTGTTCCTCCCAGCTTCCACATAGCTTCAGTAATGTATTAATTCTATGCTGTGATGCTGTCAAATGATGTGTCTATTTCATGCTGTAATGCTCACATTATTATTGGTGTGTGTTATTATGCAGATTGTAATGACTATAAGATATATCCTCCTGTGTGTCATGTGATAATAAAAGTGGAGGTTTTGACAGTGCAAGAATATTGCAGTTGGATTCTGTTATTTCTTGGAGTGCCGGGTGAATGCTATGATGTGCCAGGGCAGGTATTCATTTGGTATATTGTCTTTCAGAATGTGTAGAATATGTAATGGTTTAAATGCTGATTAAAAATACCTGCATGACTGCATATTGATTGTGTGCATGTATATGACTTGTTTTTAGTAATTGCACCCAGCATCACTATTACACCTGCATAGCAGGGATTACTTTGTTGGGCACCAAAAGTTTTGGGCCTTTCTGCACCAAAATTGTGCCAATAGCTACTTGCCCTGTGCTCCATGAAGAGGTAAAATATTCAACCAAGAACAACTGATTTGGCCCATTTTCAGACAGGGTGGACTCTGTCCCGATCAGAAGGGGATCAACTTACAGATCCCCTACTGATCAGAGCAGAGCAGTTGGATGACACATATGTGTCCAGAGTGGACAAGGACAGAGCCCATTCTGCTCTATGGGTGACTGGAAGTAAACCTGCTGTTCGTTTACACTCCACTATCCTCCGATCCAATCCACCTAAATGGAAGTGGACAGAACCCCCCTGGACCTGCTGTGTAAAAGGGGATGAAGAGTTCTTGTTATTATAACTGACTTACATTCACATTCCTGCCTGGCCAAGTTCCTCATCTAGCAGAGATTAGCCTTTCACATGAGACAAGTAAACCAGCTGAGAAGTTTCTGATGATCATTTGTAAATGTTTGGCTGACTCTAAATGCATTTGAGGTCATAGAAAAGTATACTGGAAAATCTCTTGTAAATGTTCAGTGATCCCTATACTTGTCCACAGGACAGGGGATCAATTCTTTTTCTATAAGCACAGAATGTAATGTTACAATGCTTCCTAAGTGACTTTAAGAAAGGGCAGTATTTTATATTTGATTAAAAGTTCTAGCCTGATGACCTTACTAAGCTGCAGCATACCTTCTAATATGTAACAAGAGTTAGAGAAAGAAAAATATAGCACTTATTAGTAGTTAACTAACTAACAGGGCACCTGCAGCGGCCCTGGCTCAGAGTGTTATTTTGGAGGCAAGCCACTGTGATATTGAGTCTCATTTTTTATGATAATTCACAGTAAATTGTAGTGCAATAAACTCTTCAGGCCCGCTTTTCTTTTCAAAGCCATGAATCAATCAGCTGCAGACCCTTTTGGTTCCTTTCAATGTATAGTGATCATTTAGATTTGACATGTATTGTGAAAACTAAGCTTGGCTTCTGTAACTAGCCTATCATTAATTCTAGCCTTTACTGTTCTGAAGTACATTGGAGGATGACTGAAAAATCATTGGCCCTCTTCAGCTCAGTTATGGTACAAAATAGCAGTGCCATATTTTTTGTCAGGTTTTTTTTTCCTCCCTTACTCCAAGTGCTTCCTGCGTCAGGTTTCAAAAGGAAGCAATAAAGCCCATTGAATAGTATGAATAAAAATCCTTTGAGGTTTCTGCATAGACTTCTTTTCTTTAGCTAGTAATCAAATTGGAGCTGAAATGAAATTGAGTTTTCTTATGAAAATAGCCTTTGTTGCAGGGAAGGCTGGTAATTTATAAACAATAACCTACTCTTTTGTGTGGATAATAATATATTCATGTTCTTTCTAAGGGGGAAAAAAGCCAGTCCTGGAGCATTGTAGTACGATGAAGAACTAGAGGAAGGAGCTCTGTTAGAACAATCCTACAAGGGCTTTCTCTTTCCTGATGAAATTGTACTTTTCTTTCATTTGAAGCCTGGGGTTTAGCTGTTGATGTATTGCTGGTATACAATATTTGGTTAATTAGTGAAGATCTCAAGCTGTGCTCATCACTGGATCTGGATAGACTACTGCCAGCTGCTGGAAATGGGATGATGCTACATGTTTTTATCATGCACCAGGGCTCCAGCAGCTTCAGAGCACATCCCTGCTACACAACTGGACAAGACAGCACTTGCAATCACAAGCTCCTTTTATCAGGAGCTAACTGAAAGGCTTCCCTTACCTACCTGTCAACCTGCTGCTTGGACACCGAGCTGGGGACTGGAGAAGACCACGTGAGTTCTTAATATATCATGATGATTTCATTTTCTATCTACCTAATGTTTTGCATGCACTTTAGAACAAAAATTTTACAAAATGTTGCTGGTTATACAGAACAGGTTATCTTGTATGAAATTGTTTTAATAATAGTTGAATCTTTAGAATGCTATTTAATGGTATTACAGTTATTAAATGGTTTAATAGTATTTTTGCGCTATGCATTATCTACTTTGTTTTGAAACAGTTTTAGAGTTGAGTGCATGTAGCTAAAAATTGTAAACTAGTGCCATGGTGCTTTTAGATGTGCCAGTCTTCAGATTAGAAATATCACTTGTTTAATTTATTGTATGGCATGGTTTAATTTTATTTCTGGAGCTTTGTGATTTTCTTTTAGAAGATTGCTTTTTATACTTTCTTAGTTAAATCTGCTACAGGAATCTGTATTCTGTATTGCTGAAGAGGTTTAACAACACTTTTATCAATGTTGTAATGCTGTGGGACTTTATTACATAATCTAAAATGGTTTAAAATGTAAAGGTTCAGTTATCAAATGCTGAAAAAAAAAGGGTTTTGTCTGT